CTCGGGGAGCGCCGCCGCGCCTGCGCCGGCCGCGGCCGTGTGCGTGTGCGCCTACGTCTGCTTGCTCCGGAGCTAGCGACCGCGCCTGCGCCGACACCGCCGAGCCAGACGATGACGTCGCCCGCGCGTGCGCAGCTCTCCCGCGTGCCCACTCTTGCTCCGGTGAAGGCGGGTGGACTTTCGACGGCGTCCGGGGCCGGTGCGCTGTCGCCCGCGCTCCCGCTCGGCGGGACTGGCCGCCCTGGCGCGGAGGTGCCGGCGCCGTGGGAGCTGCCCGGGCGGCGTCCAGTCTGCCGCGGCAGGATGGCAAGTGGCCTACGCACCCCACACCGTCCTCCCCGACGGCGCGGGGTGTCCTCGGGCGAGTGTCCGGCCACCTCGACGCGCTTGGTCGCGGCCACGCGGCGCCAGGGGGCACTTGGAAGCGGGGTCCCCTCGGCAGATGCCTGGCCTGCCCCTCCCAGGTGAGGCGAGCCTGTGACCTGTAGCCGGGCTCGCTTGGGCCGCCGTTGCCCGAGTGGCCAGGACAGTACGCCCAGAGTTGGGGGTGGGGGGACCCTTGACTTCACTGCCCCACGCCGCGGCGGCTGTCTTGGTCTTTGTAACACCCCGCTCCGCTAAGGTGGCGCTGCAGGTCGCGGCCCACGCTCTGCCCGTGAACCCCAAATCCACCCTTCCTGGCGCCGCCCCGCCCCCGCCCGGCTGTGCCGTCTGCGTGGAATCCCGCTGCCCTCCCTCGCCGTGGCCCTGGGCTCTGTCCCGGAGGGGCGCCTCGGGACTTGGGCCTGGAGCACGAGAGGACCCCGCTGCCCTCGCGCGTCCTGGGCCGCGGGCACGGCCGTGGGCTGTAGGCAGCGCCCCGCTCTGGCCGAAGCGTTAAGATAGGGGCGCCACCTCCGGGCTCCCCTAGTGGCCGTCTGGGGTGCCTTGGGGCTGGGGCCCAGGGCGGGTCTCGGGGAGGCTGGGTGTCCAGCAGCCTGCCTGGGAGTGACCGCAGGCCTGCTGGGGTCCCGCTGTGAGGGCGCGCACTTGGGAACCCCCAGAAAGGCACACAGAGGCTCGGTGTGTGTGGAAACCTCAGGTGAGGCTGTAATTACTTGGCAGTAAAGAGGCTTAAAAGCAAACTACGGACCCCCAGGCCTCTGCGCTCGTCAGGGCGGTCTGCAGGGGGCTGGTGGCCTGCCCGGGCCCCCGCTGGGCACGCCGCCGGGCAGCTGCCTTCGAGGAGTTCTGGCTGGACCCAGGCTCAGCATTGCCTGGGTCTGGAGGGCACAGATGGGTTTCCAGAGGGGTGCCGCTGGGCCTGGGGGGGCCTGCTGTGCTGCTCCCAGAGCACAGGGAAGTGGCCGCTGGGCCCGGGGCGGAGACCAGGGCCAGCAAGTCTCCCAGCCTCCGACTGGTTCAGTCCCAGAGTCATCGGCCTCCACAGGAGGCCTGGCCTTGAGCCCCACGTTCTTGGGAGGCTCCCACAGAAGGACAGGCCTCCGAGCTCCAGGAGTGAGCGCGTCCCACCCAGGGCTGTGGCCAGGTCTTCACGGGCCACAGGCCGGAGCGGCAGCTGCTTTCCCTGCGGAGTCCGGGTCCAGGCCGAGCTGGGAGCAGGTCAGGGGCGCAGCGCCCTGGCCCTGTCCTCGTCCAGGATGAAGGGGGACTGGAATTCCCGGCCTCGCAGGTACAGCTCCAGACCCTGGAAACAGTCACAACCCCAGGCGGGGCCAGCGCTCGGCCACCTCCGTGGGAACCCACACCTGCTGGACCCAGGAGCTGGGAACTGAGCCCCCAGCCAGAGGATGGGCCCAGCCCCAGCACCTGGAGGCCCCTGGCCACTCTCCCACAGCCCAGCCCAGCCGCCCGTCCTGCGGGACCCCCCACCCCACCCGTCCACGAGCGTGGCTGCCCAGGCCCCACAGCGGCTTCCTCTGCAGCAGCCCCGCGTCCCCCCTGGGCCCCACTCACCTCCCCAGAGCAGGACACCAAGGGCGAGATCTCGCAGACGGCCGGCGGGTCCACACCGTGGGGCAAGCTGGGGGGGCGCTGGTCAGCACTGCTGCGGGCCGGC